CATGTGGACCTGGATCAATCTTTATTGACAAAGTGTTCTTGCTTTCATGAGTTTATGAAATATCAAAATAGTGAAGTTGTTGAAAATAAGTCAATATCATATCCAGTTTGTTTATGCTTTAATTAGTAAAGGACCTAGGTTGCTTAATAGTGAAAGTTCTTGCAAAAAAAGCAATGATATTGAAGTTGTTGATGATGCAATTGTTGTTGTTTGATAGTCATGTTCTTTACTGTCTAATTTTTATAATTAGGCTGTTCTTTGTTACGTATATTTGTTAACCAACATATTGAAATTGAAACTATGAAGTTATTGCTTCATTTGTGAATTGTCAGTTTCTTTTAAAATGTTGGATAGAATGGTTGTGATGGAATGCATCGCCTTCTGATATATCCTTGTTGGATTAATTGTTAATGTATTTGTTTTGTATGTTCATCATTAATGTCAACGATTTTTACCCATTTCACTCTTAAAACTTTATGATTATGATCCTGAATTAAGATTGGCGATTGAGACTCTCATGTGATTGATTAACCACTTATCTTGATAGATTATTACATATGCACTTATTATCATCCAATACTTGCAGGCCTTACAGATATTTAATGATACGAGTATCCAATATCTTTACTTTATATATGGTGTGTGATGATGATAACAATAAATATTTTAGAATATGCATTTTGACTTAAGAGTCTTTATTTAAGTGATATTCATTTCTTTCCAAAGCATATTTGATGATATCTTTCGAAATAGTAATGGATGCTTTTATTATTAGTAAGAAACACTTAGAGTAAATTCTGAAAGTTAGTATTGAGGCATCCAATAATACTATGCCATCTGAAGATACTTGTGACTCAGAGGAGTTTGTTCCAGTTTAGGACACTGAAGACAAAGATGCAAGTGAAAGAAAAGGTAAAAGAGTGGCCGAGCATCAAAGAAAGTTAGGAGGTGCTAAAAAATTTTCAAGACTAATTGATTGCATTGTTGAAGTAGTGACAATGAAAAGTAAAGCAACTTCAAAATTGCTTGATGATACTACTGGGCATGATATTAGTGTGGCACTGAAAGTAGTTGAATCTTTACCCGGGCAAAAAGCTAGAACTGATTTGTGGTTGTTCTGTACTTGTTTATTTTTGGACAAAGTTAAGAGGGACATATTCAATGGCATAGCTGATCTGGAAGTCAAGCTTAGATGGGTTAATTTTGAAAAAAATTTAGGTTTATAGTCTAGTGAAAGTGTTAGACTATTTCTTAGCTACTTCACTTATGGTTTAATAGGATATGTGTTCTTAACTTGGTTTTTTATGATGCTATATTGTTTTGTTGAATCTTATAATACAATATATGTCGTTTTTTTAATGTTTATGCATTTATGGATATGTGGTGACATGTTATATTTTGTTGGATCTTATAATTTAAATTATTTACTCTTATAGATGTTAAAATGATGATAATAATTGATCACAGGTTTGCTTCAAAATGTCAAATGTTCAAAATATGGATATGTCAGATAATGATGATAAATTTGATATTCTTGTGTGCCTTTCTAATGCTTTCTTCGAGAATTATTATTTGACAGATCTCCACAAAGAACCTTGTATGAATTCTATTTAAACGGGTGGTGTTGAAAAATGGTGCCAAAATGTTTTCAGAATGGAAAGTAACGTATTCTTGAGATTATGTGGTGATCTGCAAACTAACTATGGCTTATAAGGTTCAAGGAGATTGAGTGCTCATGAAATCCTAGGAATGTTCTTACACATTTTAGGACATAATGTGGCAAATCGATTATCATAAGAGTGTTTTCAACATTCTGGTGAGACTGAGTAGATCTTTTAGTCAAGAGTTAGACATTGTATGTCACATGGCTATGGATATCATCAAGCCGCCTCATTTTGAGGTGATTAATTATACAGTTTACTTATATATATATTTTTTACCTATCGTTATATATTTAAATAATAATTATATGTGTACTTTTAGTTTTTTTTTTTTAGGATTGCATTGGTGCTATAGATGGTGTTCATAATCCTAGCTCGATACGTCCTGAAGACCAAGTGTTGATATATCGGCAGAAAAGGAATACCGACTCAAAATGTAGGTTGGTGGTATGTAATTTAGATATTTACTGCTGTAGGTTGGAAAGAGCAAGAGTATTCCTCCTAATGCAAAAGCCTCGTAAGGGTTATGTTTTAGAGTAGTGCTACCTTTACATAATCATTTACACAATTTTCATTATATCATGATATGGTATATGTCACATCTACACAAATTTTTAATTATTTTTAATTTTTAATATTATAATAGAATTATTATCAGTAAAATGATCATCGTGTAATGAAAATGGTATTAAGGGTTGTGTAAAAGTAACATTACCCTATATTTTATTGAAAATAATATCTTTTATAATTATTATCTTTGAAAATGTATTATATTCAACAAGAGTGGACGCAGGATGATATCCAGTTTTGGGTCCATAGAAAGGTGAGAGGTATCACCTCCTAGATTTTGATGGAGGAAAGCAAACAATGGTCTTCAACCACATGCATTCTTCTCTAAAAAAATGGAAGTTTCTACAAAACATGCGCAACTATCAGGAGGCACGCTCCAAATTATATGATTAATGAAGAGGTATAAATTGTTGTTGGTGTAGAGGAAGGAAATAGCACAACCTCTACTTTTCTTTAAAGCGACAATCACAAACTAAGCCTTAATTTATTAAAATTAAACCCTTTAACTTTGGATCCTACTCCTACCTCAAGTCTAACCCTTGACTCACCTTTTCTCAATCCTGCCCTCCCTATCACCTTCATCAACACACACATTCACAATGGCGGAACTCTGATTGGGCCAGCCTGGCCTCTACTTTGTGAAAAAAAATCTAAAAGATTTTCAAATATAAAACACATTAATATAAAGTGTCGACCTAAAAAGATAAAAAGGATAGGAAAATTCCTGCCTACACCCCATCAAATCTATAAAGATTTTCAAAATTAACTCATTAATATAAAATATTAATCAACAAATTCGAGGTCGCAGTGGGTGTTAAATTTTTTACCTTACTAGTTTTTTGACAGCGTTAGGCTTAAGGTTGGCCAACGTTACTATTTTAACAACTCACAATAAATCTAATTAGAAAAACTGCCAAATAGAATAAATAATTATTAGTTGTCCCCCGGAGGGGGAAGACCGACCCTTTCAGTTAGTTTAATCCACAGATAAATGCAATTTTTAAATAGGGTATCTAAAAATCTAGGTGTAGTCTATTAAATTAACCCAATATTATATGTAGAAGTAATATTATATGAGCAATGCTAGTTTTACAAAGACACATATAAAGGGGTATACAAAAACAATTCATACCATTGATTTTTATGATTTCTCTCTCTCTCTCTCTCTCTCTCTCTCTTTTTCCGTTTTTTCTTTGTTTTTTTTTTCTTGTTGATGTCACTTTGTAGCCCTCTTTGTATGGGTCTTTGTAAGGATAACATTTTTCATATTATACTCACAATTTATTCTTACAAACTTTTTTCATAATCTCGATGTGACAACAAACACTATCATTTCAGCTCTACCACATCCAAGACACAAAATGATTTTAACTAGACTTAAAAAACGGTCGTTCCTTTGTAGAAAACAGTTGTTCCTTATTGGAGGAATGGTCGTTCCTCTCTTTCTTACGGAATGATCGTTCCATATGATTTATGAAGATATGGCCATTTCAAAGAATGATTGTTCCTTACAAAAGTATAACCATTCCTTCATAAAGAAGGACCATACCTCTTTAAAGAATGGTTATACCTTACGACGATATAGCCATACCTTATTGAATGAATGATTGTTCACCATTCCTTGTGAAAGAACGACTGTTAGTTTCTAATAGTGCTTTAGATGTGATGAGAGTTGACGTGACAGTGTTAATCAACTACCACGTTAAGATTGTAAGAGAAAGATGAAAAATAACATAGTACTCCACATATCACGCTACTATCATTGTGTCCATTAGGGGTGTTCAGTTCCGGGTACCCTACACTTTTTGAAAGAACCGGAATCGAAACCGACGGTTCCTTGAAATTTGGAACCATAACCAAAACTGACAGTTTCGATTCCTAGGTACACAGAACCAGAACCTATAACAACGGTTCTGGTTCCGAGTACCCTATAAAATTACAATGACCCCCCAAAGGTTTTTAAAATGACAAAAAAACCCTTAAAAACTTACAAATACCCCCCTAACACTTGTTAACAAAAATAAAATTACAAATTATAAATTCAAAATTACAAACTCCATTACTTTGTAAAGGTAGATTCTCAAAAGTCAAACCAACTTACTTTAAATGTTATGAAATATAAATATAAATGTATTCAAAATTACAAACTCCATTACTTTGTAAAGGTAGATTCTCAAAAGTCAAACCAACTTACTTTAAATGTTATGAAATATAAATATAAATGTATTCACNCTTATGAAAGAACGACTGTTCGTTTCTAATAGTGCTTTAGGTGTGATGAGAGTTGACATGACAGCGTTAATCAACTGTCACGTTAAAGTTGTAAGAGAATGATGAAAAATAACGTAGTACTCCACATGTCACGCTACTATCATTGTGTCCATGCAAATGAAAATTTAATGCACCACTAAAATCTAGCACCAATCTTCGAAACTACAGTCATTGCCATTTGCCAGCAATAACGTATGATAAACATGATTATGAACCAACATCATAAACTTAATCTCCGCCGACAATGATCACAACAGAAAAATAAATAAAGAAAATTCAGTAAAGAAAAAGCACTTTTGAATGTCTTAAGCCAGCATTTATCAGAATGGTAATGCAAAGAAATGCCTGCTAAATCATAAACAAAAACAGAAGACCTCTCCAAAGCAGAAGAGCATTTTCCAAATTAGCAATCATAGTGGGCATAATCAAAATTGGAGGATAGAATTCAATTCATATTAAAGTTACATATCCCAATACCAGGAAATAACTTAATATCAATAAAAAACAAAGTCAACCTCTACACATCAATTTTCTTCATTTGGTTAAAACTAACATTGTTTGAAAAAATTATACAGCAAATGAAAGCAAGAGAATCCTTAGAAGCAAGAGAATGATGCAAACACTAATGAAATGGGTTTTGATTCAACAAAAGACTAAACCAAAATTACACCCTAGTGGGTGGAACGAGATTTTAACTTCTTCACGCTTTTATGGGCTGGGTTCACGATCTTTACCACCTTCCGAGCCTTTTTTGCAGATTTAGCTCTTTGTTTCGCCTTTTTAATTGCAAGAGGCATCTCCCTGATGGGACCTGGAGCTACCCCTTTCTTGAGTGCACTTCCTCTTGGGGTAACAGAAGGAGGTAATCTCAAACTTTGTGGAGGTAAAGGACTTTGGGGTTTCCACACCAAGTTGTTTTTCATGGAAAACCTTACCTTCTTTGCACTCTTCTCCCTACTCTTCGCACTTAGGCTAACTTCAGCATCTACCTGATCAGCTTCTGGGTTCTGTGATTGCTTTCCATTGGCACTCTTTGCTCTCTTCCTCTTCTTGGACACAGTTCCATTAACTGCAATATTTGGCAAATCACAAGCCCTTTCAACATTACTATCCAAGCCAACTTCAGCAGCAACTTTCTCAAACTGCATCTGGAGATTGGATATCACAGACACATTGAATGAAATCAAATTAGGATCAGCACTATGTTCATCATTTGAAATATCTAGAGCTGTACTAACTACATTCTCCTCTCCCTTATCGGTAGCACCATATTCACTACCAAAATCAGAAACAGAATTACTTTTCTTCTTCTTCTTCTTATGTTTTTTCTCCTTTTCGTCACTGCCACCAGATACCTTTTTGGCTTTCTTGCATTTCTTCAAGACTTTACTGGCAGATCTTAGGACAACACCGTCAGCAGATGCATCCACTTCCATGTCATTGTTAATAGGAACCAATTCCGGCACCTCATCATTTTCATCATCGACATTAACCTCAGGAATCGAAATAACAATCCGAGAAGACTCCAAATCCTTCTCCAATTTGAGAAACTCTTCATGCAAACCAAATAACACCTTCCTATTCCCTTGAAAACACTCAACAGAAGATCCAAACTCAAAAAACTTAGCCGAAAATCCCATGACCATCGCAATTGTTCCCAACTTCACAACATCATCAGACAAATCAACCTCACATCCCGACTTCTTCATCTCCAATAATTTATTCCCCATCTTCAACAACACCTCAAACACCCCACTCTTAATCTTCCCTAACAACACCTTATCTTGCCCTTTCCCCATAACCGAAATAAACGGTCCAAAAACTTCCTCAACAGCTTCCTTCCTCAAAGGCAAAAAGGGACTAAGCTCCTCAACAAAAATCGAAACAACATGATAATTCACACCATCACCTTTAACCTTACCCTCAACTAAAAAACAATTATCAATTAAAACCCTCGTTAATCTCCTAGAAATCTCTAAATCCCCCGAATGCTTCTTGAAAATCTCAAAAAAATAACGCAAGAAAGTCCTAATCAGCAAATAGAACTTGTCTAACCTGAGCGCATCGATGCCGGGCCACTCGGAGCGCATGGTGAGGAAGAAGACGGAGAAGTATTGGATTGAGAGAGGAAGGGGGAGGGCGGCGAGGATAGAGGAGAGATTTTGGATGAGTTGGGTTTGAACGGGGAGTTTATCGGCGTGCCAGACGCAATAAAAGAGGCCTTTCCACAGCTTCTTCATGTCGTTATCAGAAATTTGAGTCTGGGCGGGGAGCCAGGTGTTGAGGAGGAGGCGGAGGGCCTTGTCGCGGGTGGGCTTGTGGCAGGAAGCTAGCTGCTTTATGAGAGAGGCGCCGGCTTTTGGGGCGTCCATGGGTGAGTTTGTTGAGAAGGGAGGTGAGGGATTAGACTAGTGGTGATTAGTAGAGGGCCGAGTATATTTTAAAAGAGTGGGGAAGATGAGTGAATTGAATTGGCATTTCTGCTACTGATCCACGCAAAGTTCTTTAACCCTAGGGGCAGTTTCCAATGCCCACCGCCCCTCGTCCTCTCTTTGCGTAGGGTTACTACTATAAAATGAAATTACATCCAGACCCCTCTTGTTCAAAATCAGTATAACAGTAATTCTTACTTGTTTGATATAATTTCATTGACCCCCTGGGTTTGTGTCCAACATTAATTCGGGGCAATTTATTAAAAGACATCTGAAGTTGCATTTATAAAAGGCTATCAAGTTTTAAAGTGTTAACTAAATAGCCATATTATTGATTAAGGGTAATTAGCGCTAATTATGATTAGTGAAATACTATGTAATCTTTTCAAAATTATACTATATTCTGAAAAAACCGAAATTATTGCAAACAAACCCAAACACCTTCTTCTTCCTCCCGCCATTAACACATCTCTACCTCTGCATCTTCTTCTCTTCTTTCCTTCTCTGCATCTTCTTCTTCTCCCTCCTTCTTTACATCTTCTTCTTCCTCATTCTCTATATCTTCTGTTCCTCCGCCATTAACACTTTCTTCTTCTCCATCATTAACATCTTCTCACCAAAGATCCCCTCCTCCTCCTCTTGACATTTCGTCTAAGTATGTGTATCTCCTTTTTACATTTTATATTTAGATTTACAAAGATTTAATAATGGATGGGGTTGGGTTATGATTTTGATTTTTGTTATAGGTTGTTGGGTTGTGTTGATGTAATGCAAGTTGAAAGGAGTGAAATTTGTTGAAAACTTATTCTGGGTATGTGTTCTGGGTATGATGGATCGATTGTAGGTGGAGGAGACTGAAAATGTGTTCTAGGTATGATGGATTGCTTAAGCGATCTGGTGTATCACATTAGCGTATATGGTAGGTCTGGTAATGCAGCAGATAGATCGCTTAAGCGATCTGGTAAAAGTCTGGTGTATAGGAGCAGATCGCTTAAGCGATCAGTAAATGGCATAAGATTGCTAGCGATACAGCAGACCATATTAGCAACTGTGCAGATTCTTTTTAAAATATTTGAACCCTAGTACAGCATTTAAGAATATTTTTTTCTTATTACAGGTAGTTGGCTATTATTACACATGAGACACGTTTGTTTAGGTGTTGAATATTTTGGTGAGGGGGGGAGGAAGAAAGTAGCTGGAAGTGGATTGGGAAGAGCAAAGAAATTATACCAATTGTTGTGAGCACAGAGGTTAGTTTGATGAGTTGATGATGAAATAATAGAAGAGGTAATTTGAGTTGCTCGAGAGTAGTGATAAGTTGTGAAGTATGTTTTAAGAGAGTTCGAACATTATAAGGTACCTCCTGCTATATTAAGTTGGATGAAAGTGTGAAGTTATATATGATTGATGTGGCCGATAATGGTTCGAGCCGATTTTAAGGGTTTTCTTGTAGAAAAACCGTTGGAAGTTGGTTCAAAAGAAGGGGATAACGAGGAAGTAAGCGGAGATTTGCCTGGTTTTAATTTGAACTACGAGGCCATGATTGTTAGTTGAAAAATCAAGAGTAGACGGGGAATTAGGTGGGGAGGGGACACTGTAGAAGAGGTGGTGATGGGGGGCAGAATGAAAATTTTGAGGAGGAGGACCCCGTAGATGTTCCCACAATGTAGAGATTCATTTAAATACAGATTATGCAGAAGCGGAGATTGTGAGGAAGAGAACACTATGGTCATTATGCAGGTTCAGAGGGGGCAATTGGAGGTAGTAGTGAATCAAGTCATGTTTTTACAGATGGATCAGAGTTGCACATAGGGTATTTATTTGACAACAAAGAGGAAGTGTGTGAGGAAGCTAAAACTTGTTGCCGTGAGAGATAATTTTGAGTTTTCACCAAAAAGTCAAATTCATTGGCTGTGACGGTTGCATGTCATGACCGAAAGTGCAAGTGGCAGATTTATTGTAGAGGTTGGCGGAGTCAGAAAAATTTATTCTTAGCATATACCCGTGAGCACACTTGTGGTTGAGATATTTCAGGTGGGCATCGACAAGCGTCCGCTGATGTTATTGGACAATTTGTCAAAAGTCGGTTCGTTGAAGGGAAAGGTCCATCTCCTAAAGACATTCAGAGACTTGTGCGCACAGAGTTGGGATGTGCTGTTAGTTACTGGAATGCTGGAAAGGGAGACAACATGCACAAGATTTGTGAGGGCAAGTCGGAACACGGGTATGCAGTATTAAAAGCGTACCGTAATGCTTGAGTTGACAAACCGAGGTAGCAAGACGTTTGAAGTGGGACATGAATATGATGTTTAAAATTTTTTTGTGCTTACGGTTCTGCTATAAAGGGGTTTTGTAAACATGAGAAAGGTGTTGGCTGTTGATGGTTGCTTTCTGATGGGAAAGTATGGAGGTACATTGTTAGTGGCCACTGCACAGGCAGCGAGAATCACACATATCCTGTTGCATGGTGTGTGGTTGACTCTGGAATGACGAGTTTGGACTTGGTTTTTTCGGCAATTACGTACGATAGTGCCTGACAGTGACGAGTGTGCAAATATCGTAGGCACAACTCTATAGAGAAGGGGATTGCCTATTTACCCTCAAGCACATCACGGATTCTATATGAGGTACCTTGGTGAGAACATAAAACAAAGTTTAAGTGTGCTGGCCTCCTTTAGACATAATACATGGCAGCAAAAGCTTATCGGGTTGATGAGTTCGAGGAGCACTTCCAGCAATCCAATCAAGGATGATAGAGTTGCAAGTATCTTGAGCATGATGTGGTTTCGAGCGATGGAGTAGAGCTTACTTTCTGGAAGAAAATTTGATGTGATGACCACGAATATAGCGGAGTCCATAAATTCGAAGTTGTTAATAGAAAGAGAGCTTCCAATAGTTGCACTTTTTGATGCAATCCGAGGACATTGTACGGTGGTTCCATGAGTGTCGTACGAAGTCAAATTTTACTACAACCCTTGTTCGTCAGCTGAAAAATTGCGAGAATGTATGGAACTGTCAAATGCACTGTTTTCTATCTCTTAATGCTCAAGAGTTCACTATGTGCGCCTATGGTCCGGATGCCCTAGTTAACGTTGTAGAAAACTTGCAGTTGTAAATTGCTGACATTCAACGTTACCTTGTCCTATGCACTAGCAGCACTGAAACACCAACGAAAGCTGGATTTTGGTTCAAGAATTTACATGGAACTTTGCTCCCCTCTCTATATGGCAGATCACTACATGCTGGCTTATTCAGAAACAATATATCAGTGCCTCCAGAAGAGCATGGGTAGTGCCGCCAGAGTTGGCTGACATTATCATCCATCTGCCATTCAAGAAAGACAGTAAAGGGGAGAAAAAGAGTTAAATATATTCCATCAGCCTCTGAGGTTCCTCGAAAGAGAATAAGTGCTCAATTTGCAAGAACCTGGCCACAAGAGAAGCAGTTGCCGAAGTAATCACATGTAGATCCAGAAAATTAGTTCGAAGAATGATGAAATTAGGGAGTTGCGAAGGCCAACGTTGATGGTTTGTTTTCAATTATTGATGTTATAAATTTATTGTTACCTTTAATAAATCATTCTTTATATTCTTGTTACATGGCTAAATATATGTTGTGGATTTTAGTTTGGAATTAGGTTGTCAAATTGAGGAGAAATATGGAATTAATACGTGTTGGTAATTTTAGTTTGTCAAAATCAGGAGAAAAACAGAAAAAGTATATATTGCCCATGATGCTTAAGCGACACCGTATACGCTTAAGCGACCAAGGGTTTTTCAAACAGGATCGTTAAGCGATATCAAGTCGCTTAATCGACCAAGACAAAAGACAAGACGCTAAGCGATATCTCAGATCGCTTAAGCGATCATGCACCTGGGCAGATTTGATTCTGCCAATCACATGATCGCTAAGCGATCACGATCGCTTAATCAACCAAGTGAAAAAGAAAAGAATCGCTTAAGCGACCCTATGTAAACGAAGTTCCTTTAGTACGATCGTTAATCGACCAACGAAGATTTAAAAATTTAATAAATACACCCCCACCTACCCAATTCCCAGATTCCAGCCACCACTGTTGGATCCTACGGGAAAGGGCGTTACGACGCATAGCGGTTGGATCAGGCTAATAGGGGGGTCGATATGGCCTTTTCCGGCTAGATCGAACGCAGATGTGGTCGGAAAAGGCCAGATCACGGCCAGATCTGGCCGTCGACGGACGAAAAAGTCGATATTGGCCGTCTACGATGGCCAAAATTATGACTGTCGTTTTCAGTCAACGATCAAGATTTGGCCGTCGTTGACCGTCAACGTCGACTATTTCTTTTGAAAGTCGATGACGGCCTGATGTGGCCTTTTCCGGGCTGGGAAATGTCACATCTGTGAATTTTCGGCCATTGCCGGTGTTTGTAGCGTCGGTGGTGCCCGGAATCTGGGAAGTTGGGTGGGTGGGGGTGTTTTATTACTTTTTAAACTTTTTAGGCGGTATAATGAAATTAATTCAGTTAATGGGTCTAAATTTTATTAAAAATACTATATTTCCTAAATAATTAAACAAAGAAATATTTGGGAATAAGATTTATAATATTTATAGGAAATTCAGCAAATGCAACCTTTATGTTTGACACAAACAGAATCCTAAACCCTATATGTTTAGCATAGACGTAAACATTTAAACCTTATATGGTTTCATATTGACGTAAAAGAACTATATGTTTAATATAAATATAATAACGGTCATAGTCACTGAACGAATCATAACCCTATATGTTTAGCATAGACGTAAACATTAACAACCTTATATGTTTCATACTGACGTAAAGAACTATATGTTTAATATAACTATAATAACAGTCATAGTCCACTGAACGAATCGTAAACCCTATATGTTTAGCATAGACGTAAACATTCAACACCTTATACGTTTCATACTGACGTAAAAGAACTATATGTTTAATATAAATATAATAACGGTCATAGTCCATTGAATAAATCGTAAACCTTATATATTTACCATAGCGTTAATCGCTAAACCGATGCTTTGAAATACAATAAATAATATCCGAATACATAGGAACACTTAAGCGATCCTCTGTATTTACACAGTCGGT